GAGCCTTGCGGTTCGCCGTCCAGCGTTCCAGGGCTTCCCGGAGGTCTCCCAGTGCCCGTTGCTTGCACGCTTGGATTTGCTTGACTCTACAGACGTGCAATCTAATCTGTCCCTAGTTTACTAAGTAGGAAGCGCTTGTAGTTCTAAGGCAAGTCAAGGTTTATCAGGGTTTAAAACAGATTCTACCTTGGAACTTTTCAGAAGGTGATAGTCTAGGGGCGTCTGGCTGGCTCAGTCAGTTGAGCATGGGTGTAGAGATTACTTAAAATTAAATCTTTAAAAAGAAAAAAAAAGGAGGTGATAGTCTGTGACATGGTTGGTTGGCCTTTCCAAGCCTTGGGGATACTAGAATTGGCACAGAGCCCCAGGACTTCAAGGCATCTGAAGAAGGTCTGTAGCTGGGGAAGGAGAACTTGCTTGGGGTGCCCGAGTTTTGTTTTCTTCCATGGGATGTGCCTCTCAGGTGGATGTTTGCTCGAGTGTTGTCCTCAAAAAAGCTATCTACATCTCTGTCTTTCCCCTTTGTTTGTCACAAACCTGTGATGGTTTTCTTATTTCTTTTTTGGCAGAGGAGTGGCTGAAGTAAACAACTCTGTTTTGGGTGTTGAGTAGACTGTCCTTCAAGAATCAGTGAAGTCAGGTTCCTATAAACAACTCCCAACTTGTGGCTCTGCTTGGGTGACGTAGAGCCTTACAGGTGGAATGAGAGGGGACCTCTGCGGTGATGGGGTCAGTGCCTTGACCTCTTGGACCCACCTCAGCTGTACCTAGCCTGGGATGTCTCTGGGGGTGAGAGGCTCTCCAGGTTCTGAGAACAGTGCAGTACTTGGAATCTAGTTGTTAGAAAGCTTTTCTGTGTGTTTAGTAGAAATGATCTCCATCTGATGTGTTCTGCCCCAGTTTTTATCGGTCCATGAATATTGTATATGTGGCAGCCTTTCAAGTATTTGAAGAAAATCCCTCTGTATGTATTCCTTTCGAGAGTTTTAGTTTTCAAGATGAGAAATCTGTGTTTCTTTCATTATTCTGCCAACAGGAGGTGTGGTTTTAGGTCTGTTTTCTGCTGGTCTCAGCCTATTAATAACCAACGCGGTCGGACTGGCCCTTGTGGTTATTATGATTGTAAGACACCTTTCAGTAATAACCATCAGGAAACTTTGAAAACAACAAAGGTTTATTACTTACAGAGCCTGGAAATTTTATAGCATACCTGGGGCCACACAGTGAAGTGGGAGGCTGTGAAGAGAGAGATTGAGGGAGCACAGGCCTGGGTTCTGCTTTTATTGGAGTCGAGGGTGAGGGCCTAGGGGTTTCTGAGGCTTGATCTTTATTGGGGAGTTTACGACCAAACTTAAAGCTTGGGAAGAGAAAAGATAAGTGGCCCAAAAGGTCTCTTATCAAAATCAACTAAGAGCTGATCTCAAATAGAGGATACTCTGGGGGGAGGTGTCCTGGTTCTACCTCATTGAGTGGCAGGAGGCAAAATGTTTATTCCTCACCAATCTAAACTTAGGCACTGGCATTACAGACAAGAAAAACCTCACGGCTTACACTGCAGGGTCCTTTTCCTTCGCTCATTTTGCGTATGACATTACCGTGTCCATATTTCCCTTAAGAAGGGATATTCAGGTTGGAACACGACTCTCCATGTGTAGTCTGACAAACCCAGTGTGGACTGGAATCCTGAGCCCCCATTGTCACAGCTGTGCAGCTGTGCTGACCCAGCCATAGCCGCCTTGGTTGTCAATTGCGAGACCTTCCCATGCCTGCTGCTGCTTGAACCATCTTCCTCACTGTCCACAGGCAGTTGATTTTGGAAGGAGCACTATGAGAATAAGGTTGTCCTGTTGGCCATTTACCCCAGAGTAGTGAATTACGTTGAGAATTGCAAGTCACGTGGGTGGTCAGTAATAAGCAGTGATTGTATCCGGTGTGAGGGAGGCAGGTTAGCAATATCGAACCCTATATAGATGGTCCCATGCATCCCACCGGTGACAACAGGTAGGGTTGCCCCATAGTTTTTAGTCTGTCATCTGGGGCAAAGATCACCAATGTGTTTTGTGTTAAAGAATGTTTCTCCCTTGAGAATTTTTAAAAGCTGCTTTTGGTGTGGGGTAACGAACGTAGGCCTTTGGCTAGACAGTCCTGAGTTTGAATTCTGGCCTTCTTCTCACACACTGGTGTGTGATCATGAGCAAAGTAGCTGCTCAATTTGCCTTGTCATGTCGTGAAACTAAAAGGAGCTCCAGTGGCTGGCAGGTGGTACCTGTAAAAAGTTGTAGCTCTTTTTAGTGAAAGGCTAGCTTTTGCATAGTTTCAAAGTGAGGAGAAGTTGAAAATAAATGGTAGATTACTTAGTGGAAAATAAAATGTACCCAATATATAGTTTTTGCTTTCTGGAGATAGAATGATGATACTGAGGTAGAATGATAGAACATTGTATGCAGGGTTAGAGCCTCCGTGGAGTATATGTGGTTTCCAGGCCTTTTCCTAAATTGACCTTTAAGCAGCAAATGCAACTCCACTTTTAAGCAGTGACCTAAATTTTCAGATGACTGCCCCAGACTAGAGGTGTAGACTGTCGCCTCAGCACTAAGTGGCTTATCCAAGATTAAGCATGACCTCATTAGCACTCTCCCTGCAGCTAACTTTGCTGGCCGTGGACCCTAACCCTAACAGTGGCTCTGAAACGAGTTGAAATGGGGTGAAAGTCTAGTAATTGGACCACCCCAGTGCTTTGGAAAGTATGACCTTCAGCTCTAAAATCTTGATGAGGATGAATGATCCCAACCATAAATGGAAGAGCGTTTGTGCTAAGCCCCATGTTTTACATATTTTGTGTGTTTGTTGTGAGAAGCGGACGATTCATCGTGTGGTCACTTGTTTTTATTCCTGGAAAACCTCTCCCGGTGCGGTCGCCAGCAGCGTACGTGTGTATGGAGTCTCTACTGCTGATGGTTCTCGTTCTGCTGTTAGAAATGCAGACGACTGGGGGAGGGGGGAGCTGAGGATAAACCTTGTGATCATAAATTATGATATAGGAAGTTGTCCTGATTTGGAGAATGTGTCAGTCTTCGCGAAGTCTGGTGGTTTCTGTTTTTCCCAACAGTTTTATGTCAGATGTTTTGTAAAACGTTACCATTTTATGTGACGTAAAGTCATTCTTTTCAAAATAGTTATGTGGAGTAAGTATAAAATTGGAGAAGATATTTTTTGTGGTTTAGGAAAAGTAAGACCTCCTCAGCTGGGAGAATGTTATCCCTGAATTAGATGGAGGAACATTGTATGTTAGCAGTTGGCTCACAGGGGGTCACGCTTTTGTCTTCTTGAAGGCAGCTGGGAAGAAAGTAAGCAGCGGACCTTCTGTTGGTCAGAGGTGGAGAGGTTGCCGAGCATACAGTGCCAGAGAGGGTGTAGGACGTCTAGTAGCAGCTGTAGCCTGGAAACAGATTTTGTACTTGTTACGATAAAACGTCACCATTCATCCAGTTGGGCGAGAGAGTTTTGTTAGTGGTGTTTTTGCCTGAAATTTGTACACCCAGATATCCAAAAGAACAGACTGAATGGATCGCTTGCCTTGATGTTTATGTGTATGTGGGGGTGTAGAGTTGTCAGATAAAAATAGGACACCAGTTAAATTTTAATTTCAAATAAGAATGAGTAACTGTAGTATTTGTTGTTTACCTTAATTTCATTCTTTTTTGCTTTTAAAGAATGATTTACCAAAAGTGATCTACAACACTTGAAATATTCAAAGAGAAGCTGATATTAGCATGATTTTTTTTTTTTTTAGACCTATCTGTGTTCTTTTTGTGTTTATATTCAGTGACTTTGTCTTGTGTCCCTGTTAGGGCAGATCTATATTCAAGATAATTTCAGTCCTAAATGGCTGACTTTGCAGATTGACAATTTGTGCTGAAGTATCGAATTCATACTTAAATGATGTTTTTCAGTTGTCAAATATGTTTTAGGTACCTCAGGGTCATTTGGATTCATTCGATATTATGAACTACAAACTTACTTCTGGATGGATACAATGGAATTTCATACATAACTTTTGGTTTGTTCTTAACCTTCTGAATTTGGCATCCTTGGGGTGGGGTGGTGGGTGGGTACCGACACAATACATTCCACGCGTGTTATTTTAGAATTCGAAATTGGCTGTTATTAGAAACTCTGTTGGGCTTTTACCTGTTCCGTAAACAGCTCTTTGGAAACTTTTTCCATTGCAGTATCGCCTGAGTGTGGTCTTGACGATGGGAGGTGCTGTGAGTGCTGGTGAGGACAACGATGAACTGATAGACAATTTGAAAGAAGCACAGTACATCCGGACTGAGCTGGTGGAGCAGGCTTTCCGAGCTGTCGACCGCGCAGACTATTATCTGGAAGAATTTAAAGAAAATGCGTATAAAGACCTGGCGTGGAAGCACGGAAACATCCACCTCTCAGCCCCATGCATCTACTCAGAAGTCATGGAAGCTCTGGACCTGCAGCCAGGCCTCTCCTTCTTGAACCTGGGCAGCGGCACTGGCTACCTCAGCTCCATGGTGGGGCTCATTCTAGGTAAACCTGGAGAGAGTGTGGGGCCTTGTCTCGTGGCACTTGGCCTTCTGAGCATTCCCCCCCTGCTCCCCGGGGGTGTTTACTCACAGCCATTGGCTGGGCTGGTGGAGGGAGGCCTTTGAGTTTTCTGCGGGGACCCCTCCTGTTCCTGCCCCCTCCCACCTGAAGTTCCGCAGTCCGTTCAGCGCACCCTCCTTCTGGACAGCACAGGACTTAGAGAATTACAGTGGGACCTCACAGTGATTTCCTGATTAACACAGTCACACAGCCTGCCTTGTCTCTCTGTCTGTAAACTGAGACTAATTAAGTTTAAAGTTCCCTGGAAGTTAAAATTCTTCCAAGCAGTCTTGCTTTGCTTTGTTTTAATGCTAAAAGAGTTAATTCCTGTAGGTTTTTCTTTGTAAATAAATTCCAGGGATGGGAAGGACAAGTTATCTTATTTGAAGACATTTTGCCTCTTTCTCCAAACAAGATGTGAGGCTGCACATGGGAATTGGCACTTTTGTTGTTGAAACAACAGGGCTGTCTGATAATTGAGGGCTCAGGTGTCTGTTTTTACTCTGAGTGAGGGGGAATGAGTAACGGGAGCTAACCTGTGCTTTAAAAGATTGCTGTAAAGAGGGGCTGGGGCTGCTGCAGCGGTCTGTGTGAGAGGGTGGCATCTGGACCACAGGCCCCAGGTGCCAGGCGTCGTGACGAGACCCGCTAAGGAATATCAGGAACGTGCCTGTGCGCACACACCTCTTGGTCAAACTAGTGTGAGATTCTTAGTTGGAGATTTCAGGCGAGAGCCGTCGCTGTGCAGGCCACAACATGGTTTCTTTGCGGTTGTTACAGACAATCTTAGCAGTAACAGTTGGTATTCATGGGTATGGAATGAAATTTTTGTTTTTTTTTTAAATGTTTATTTAGTTTTGAGAGTGGGAGTGGGGGAACCGAGGATCCGAAGCAGACTCTGCTGTCGTCATGGAGCCCGACGTGGGGCTTGAACTCACAAACTGTGAGATCATGACCTGAGCCGGACTCAGACGCATAACCAACTGAGCCACCCAGGCACCCCAAGATTTTTGGTATCTTTATAAGTTTATAGGCTTGGGAATTTGGTGATGTTTTGAGACTGATCATTTGACTTCAGGCTATAGATTGGTATCTTCAAATTTTTAAATGTGGTTTTTTGTTTTTGTTTTTGTTTTTTTCCTCTTTTTAATGTTTGTTTATTTTTGAGAGAGCATGTGAGTGGGGCGGGCGACGGTGAAGCGCTCTGCGCTGACAGCATGAAGTCGTGAACTTTGAGATCGTGACCTGAGCAAGTCTGACCCTTAACTGACCGAGCCACCTAGGCGCCCCTTGTTTTGTTCTTTAAAGCTAAATCATTTTTGCACGCACTTTGTCTTGGATTTAAACTGCTTTGCACAGGACCCCAGGTTATGTGTCATTCTGGTATTAGTGAAGGGCAGTTCCCTTCAGTGGAGCAGAAAATGGGGGAGCTAAGGATGATACGATATTTGGCAGAGAGGGGGATGGGGTATCATGTTGACTAGGTTAGAAACGCTATTGAAAATAACTAAGAGCCTCAGGAAAAGAGGGCATATGGTAAGCCTGAGGTGACCTGTTGCACTGGACGTTCCCTAGAAGTCATAAAGAAATGGCTTGTGTTCTCTGAGTCCCCTGTTTGCTGGGGATGTAACTAGATGTTGCAGTGGGGAGAGAGAGACCTGAGGGGGGGAAGTTTTGGGGGGCTGTAGAGGACACTGTGTACTGCTTGGATGTATCTGAAGGAGGTGACTGGAGAGTTTCCTTTGCTGCACAGACATCTTGGATCTGCAGGGAGGAGGCTGCGTGCACTGGACCGATACCTCTGTCCCGACAGCACGTGTCCTGGGCCTCTCTCCAGCTCATCCGGCCTTTAGCGTTGCGTCAAGCACATCGCTGGAGAGCTGAAGGCCATGCTGGCCACCCAGTACTTGCAGGTGTGAGGTCTGGAGTCTTTCATCTGACGTTTTTGGCCTCAGCTGCCCTTCCACCTGGCCCTGAACTCTTTGCCCTTTCTGCCGCATTCCTGTCCCACTGACCCGAAAGTGCAGTGTGATTAGGGAGTGCAGTGCCCTCATCAGGGGCCTTGTGGTCTGGGTGTGGTGCCACGCCCTTGATGTCTCGTCCTGACTGTTGCTCTGTGTCCCCCCCTCCCCTCTTAATCGTCTTGTTATTGGGGTGGGTCAGGAGCTATGGATTAACACTGTGTTTGGTGTTAAGCTTCTTGGGAACTATGTCCCCTGTGTGTTATTAGAATGAACTACTTAATAGGTGTTGACAGAGGGGCGGATGAAACTATGACGACTGGGAAGGTAGAGAAAGGTTTTCTTGGATTCCGGTACAATGCTGCCAGCCTGAGAGCAGTGGGGGTGGAAGTCAGCGACTGGGCAGAGGGTCTTGAAGTTAGATAATTTGGATTTGATGTTGTAAAGAGTGAAAATGCGACTTCTCAAGTAAGGTGTGTTTTAATGAGAGAATGTGTTGGCCGCAGCTGTGTGTATGACAGGTGTTGAGAGAAGAGAGTCGCAGGTAAGTTGTCCAGGTGGAGGAGAGGGAAGCCTTGGCTTGGGATGGCTGCAGTGCCGTCAGGGGCCAGGGAAGCCCAGGCGGCAAAATGTAACGGTACGGGTGTGCGGATGGTTGCTGATTTTCCCGTATTTCTGTTGGATTGTGGTGTTAGGTGCTGCGCTGTGACTTCAGTCTATCTGTCTAGTGAATAAGGTATTACATGCCCCGTTGGTTTTCACACGGAGGCTTCTAATAATGGCAGTGTGACTTACCTCTGGTACACAAACAGGTGTGAGGTGTGGGGCTCGGTGAACCTGTACGTGAGTATTCACGTGCCTGCAAGCACAAAGTTCCGAATAGAATCGGCACCCCGGTGGCTGCCATGCTGCCCCTCCCCCTCCAGAAAGGAGAGCACTCTTTGGCCCTCCGTGATCACAAATGAGCGTTGCCTGTTGCTGACCTTCCTATAAACGGATTCCCACAACAGAGACTCCCCTAGCTGTCTGTGTCCGTAGATTTCATCTGGAGGCAGTTCTATACGGAGGCAAAAACTTCATCGTTAAGTGGGCGTCCACCTTTTCTTACAGCTTTATTTCCAATTACTGACAATTTTCCTTTGGTATAAAAAAAATGTTTCATTGTGACTTGGTTATAGTTTTATTTTAATGATGATCCAAACCTATTTGTGAGGATTATTAAAATTTTCATGTCTGAGTAGGGCGACCTCTTATGGCAAATAGGCCTGTGTCCAGTTTCATTTGGAAATACATTTTTCTTCTTCAATTCATTAGTGAGATCTTGAATTCCTGGTTGCAGATCTTGTTTTTTTTTTTGTTTTTGTTTTTGTTTTTTTTACATCTTCAAATGATTGAGAGCAGGGAGACCCAGGCTTTGGAAAGGTGTGGAGTTAGTAATGTCAAAGAAACGAGTATTTACAATGTGGCGAGCATAGTCTACCCTGCATATTTAAAGATTAGCTTTTTGATTTGGGTCCAATAATGTGTCAAGACCTCAAAACCTTGCAAATTTCTTCATGTAATTATACGTGCTGAATCTGGTGCATTGCAGTTGAAAAAATAGAAATAAAGAGTAAGAATTTTTGCCCTAGTTCTAAAAGTTTTCTTATTCTGAAACCTTTTAGGTCCTTTTGGTGTGAACCACGGGGTTGAACTCCATTCAGATGTAATAGAATATGCAAAGCAGAAGCTGGACTTCTTCATTCGAACCAGTGACAGCTTTGACAAGTAAGATCAGATACTAACTAGCCTTGGGTTGGTGTGTGAATTACAATTTAAACTTTTGATTAGTTGAGAGAAACGAGTTTATTAGTGTTCGGATACCAGCAAACATGATTCAACTTTGGCAGGAGAATCGGGTATATGTATAGCTGTTCTAATTATTTTTTGTTTAAAAAATTTTTTTTTTCTTTTAACGTTTATTCAGTTTTGAGAGACAGAGTGTGAGCAGGGGGGGCAGAGAGAGGGAGACACAGAATCTGAAGCAGGCTCCAGGCTCTGAGCTGTCAGCACAGAACCCGACCTGGGGTGTGACTCAAACCGTGAGATCATGACCTGAGCCGAAGTCCGGCTCTTAACTGACTGAGCCACTCAGGCACCCCCTGTTGTAATTGTTTTGTAAATATTTTGTGGTTTTGAGGGCTTTAGGGTTTTTTTTTTTTTTTTTTTAAACTATGATACCAGGGCAAGACTGATTTTTCACCAACATAATAAGAGAAAGGAAATAGAATATTCATTTTGCTCAATTTTCGTGTTTCTGACACAGACAACATGTTTTCATCTAATAGTTTCTTTTTATTATTTATTTATTTATTTTTTTTCAACGTTTATTTATTTTGGGACAGAGAGAGACAGAGCATGAACGGGGGAGGGGCAGAGAGAGAGGGAGACACAGAATCGGAAACAGGCTCCAGGCTCTGAGCCATCAGCCCAGAGCCCGACGCGGGGCTCGAACTCACGGACCGCGAGATCGTGACCTGGCTGAAGTCGGACGCTTAACCGACTGCGCCACCCAGGCGCCCCTCATCTAATAGTTTCTAGAACAGAATTGTTGCATTTGTCTTTAAGTAGTATATATAATTACCTCTTGCCATTTTTAAATAAGGCATTAAAGTTCTTATTTTAGAGTTTACCATTTTTAGAAACACCAAATGTATTTTTCTTTCATTTTACTCGTTTTTAGTAGATCCTAAATAAGGTAGTCTATAAAAACGGAACAAAGACTGTGATGAATGGAGGTTGGATGATTTAAGCTTGGATCGTGCTTATGGCATTCACTTCCATAATGTTTTGTTTGGAATTTCTTGGATTCTGTTAATTAAGAGTATAATTCTTTTTGGAAGTCTGTCTTCTCGCTTCTGGCTCTGTGAATTGCATTACCTCACTATAGGGTTGTTCAATGAAAAACTAATCCGTGGTTAACATAGATTTACTCTGTAGACTTGTAATGTGATCAGCTCAGTTACAGAAAACATTTTTTGCTTCTAGATTTGACTTCTGTGAACCTTCCTTTGTTATTGGCAATTGCCTGGAGATTTCTCCAGATTGTTCTCAGTACGATCGTGTGTACTGTGGGGCTGGTGTGCAGAAAGAGCATGAAGAATACATGAAGAGTCTTCTCAAAGTAGGGGGCATCCTTGTCATGCCGCTGGAGGAGAAGGTCAGATCCCTTTCATAACTGACGTGTTTAACTATGGGCCAAGTTCTGTTCCGGGAAGTTTGCATACATTTTTCCTTGTATCCCTCAACAATTCTGTCCATTTCACAGATGAGGACCCAGGCAGGGACAGGGCATAAAGACAGCCTAGCTGGGGCCAGGGCAGACCCAGGAAGGCACCCTGGAGCCTGCACTGTAAGCCCTGAGCTCACATCCCTCTGTCTCCTCCTGTTTTCCTTCCTCTCTCCCACCTCCCTTCCCTCCTCCACAGTTATTCTAGTGTGCTTATTCTGTTGTTAGACTCACACATAAAAATTACTTCCGTAATTCTGATTGTAGTCTGATTGTTTGGTTCTGTGACAGTGAGCATTCTACAGGAGTCTCTTCCTTAGTATGAACCTTGTCTAAGTCTGCTATTTGGTCATGTTTCTGTGTGCTGTGGATATTGTGCTGCACTGAGGCAAACAAATTGTAAGAAATGAGCAAGATTAATCAAACTTGAGTTGGTCCTAAGGAAGAATGTCTCCATCACAAAGAAGTAGGAAAAATGGAAATAATAAAAATGGGAGATCGTGCATTTTTGTGTGATTTTCTGCAATTTTAAAATGTTAGCATTTATTTTGTTTAAAAAGTAATCATTCATTGTCGAAAATCCAGAAGATATGATAATTAAGAAAAACTGCTTACAATCCCACCCCAAGTGCTGTTAGTGTAGGATTCAGTAATTCCTGAAATTACGATCAAGTAATTCTTAGTGTTTTCAGATGGTCAGCTGGTGTTCAGATTTTCCTGATTATCTCAGAATTTATTTGAATAGTTTATTTGAATAGGGTTTCATTTGATTATATCTTTTTTTTTAATTTTGTCAGTTTTATTAAGGTACAATTCACATAGAATAAAACTGAACAATTTTAACTGTATAATCCATTGAATTTTGACAAGTGACGACAGAGGTAGCATACAACGCAAACAACATATAGAACATTTTCTATTGCTCCCCCAAATTCCCTCTTGCCCTCCTTTTTTTTGAGATGTAATTCACGTATTAGTTTCACGTGTGCAGCGTCATAATTCAACAAGACAATTGTGTTTTCATACTGTGCATTTGTAAGACCTATTTGAATGTGCTCCAGATCCGTTTATCAGCTTTGGGCCACGTACAGAGCGTTGTGTTCTCCAGCAGAGCAGTTCAAACAGCAGAGTTCCCAGACCTGTGGTATCAGTAACTTTTCTGGAGGCAAAAGTCAACTTACAGTGCTGATGGAATTTGTGAGAAACATTTGGTTTGTGTCTTGCATTTGGTTGGTATCTTGCTCTCTCCTTTTTAAAGATTTTAGTTTTAAGTAATCTCTGCACCCGACGTGGGGCTTGAACTCACAACCCTGAGATCAAGAGTCGCATGCTTCACCGGCTGAGCCAGCCAGGCACACCTGGTTGATATATGTCTAAAGTGTTTCTTATCTGTAACTTTTTTTTTTTTTTTTTTTTAACTTTATCCTTGCATTTGTCTTATAGAGTTTCCTACAGCCTGGATTTGGAGATTACATATCTCTGTGGTGGTATCTTACATATTTCTTCTGTTCTCTGTTTTCGCTGTGAATTGCTAATTGGATCCAAAGACTTGCTTAGTTTGCAGTTTGACTCAACTTTTGGTGGGGAGGGAGGGTGCGAGAATACTTACCAGGTATTACAGTGTATGTCCATATACACTCACATCATACCCGATGCCAGCAGTGCAAATGTGGTCCTGATCCACTGTTTCATTAAGGGATACAGGATGGTAAATTCTGCTTCCATCATTTCTCATCATTTAGTACCTCGAATACTTTTTTCTTTCTTTTTTTTTAAAATTTTTTTTAATGTTTGTTTATTTTTGAGATAGAGCGTGAACGGGGGAGGGGCAGAGAGAGGGAGACACAGAATCCGAACAGGCTCCAGGCTCCGAGCTCTCAGCACAGAGCCCAACGTGGGACTCAAACTCACGAGCTGTGAGATCATGACCCGAGCCGAAGTCGGACACTCGACCGACTGAGCCACCCAGGCGCCCCGCTTTTTTCTTTTTAATTTTCATTCTAATATAGTTAACGTAACAGTGTTGCATTAGTTTCAGGTGTATGATACAGTGATTCAGTGGTTCCATACGTCACCCAGTGCTCCCTGAGATAAGTGTACTCTTCATCCCTTTCACCGGTTTCCCCCGTCCCCCACCCACTTCCCCTCTGGAGACCATGAGTTTGTTCTCGAAGAGCCTGTTTTATATCCTCCCCACCCCCTTCCTTGTTCATTTGTTTCGTTTCTTAAATTCCAGATGTGAGCGAAATCATGGTATTTGTCTTTCTCTGACTTGGCCAGATTTCATTCTTCTTCATGGTTGAGTAATGTCATTTGCAAATACTATCTTCTCCCATTCAGTAGGTTGTCTTTTAGTTTTGTTGGTTGTTTCCTTGGATGTGCAGAAGCTTTTTGTTTCGATGCAGTGCCAACAGTTTATTTTTGCTTTTGTTTCCCTTGTCTTAGGAGATGTATCTAGAAAGAAGTTGCTGTGGCCGACGTCAGAGACGTTACCATCTGTGCTCTCTTCTAGGATTTTTATGGTTTCAGGTCTCATGTTTAACTCCTTAATCCATTTTGTGTCTTTGTGTCACCTTCAGTTACTTTCATCAGTGTTTTATAGTTTTCAGAGTACAAGCCTTTCACTACCTTGGTTAAGTTTATTCCTAGATATTTCATTATTTTTGGTGCAATTATAAATGGGATCATTTTCTTAATTTCTCTTTCTGCTTCATTGTTACTAGTTTTTAGAAATGCAGCGAATTTCTGTACATTGATTTTGTATCCTGCAACTTCATAGTACCTGGAATACTTAAGGAGAAACACCCTCATCATTTATTCGGTTACCCTAGGCACACTGTAGAAGGAGAGGCTGGATACATTCTGATTCTTAACTTTTGTTTACTAGTTTCCTCAATAATCTGGTTCTCCAGCATCTGCTGAAGGTGGTGACTAATAAGATTTTATTTGATTTTTAGTGTCGGTGTAAATTAATGGATATAAACGTACTTAATATCTTAATCATGACGCCATTCTTTTTTTTTTTTTTTTTTTTTCAACATTTATTTATTTTTGGGACAGAGAGAGACAGAGCATGAACAGGGGAGGGGCAGAGAGAGAGGGAGACACAGAATCGGAAACAGGCTCCAGGCTCTGAGCCATCAGCCCAGAGCCTGACGCGGGGCTCGAACTCCCGGACCGTGAGATCGTGACCTGGCTGAAGTCGGACGCTTAACCGACTGCGCCACCCAGGCGCCCCTCATGACGCCATTCTTAATGAAGCTTAACATGTGCTGTCTTGGCCCGTGGGGACCTCTCCAGCTTGGCTCTTGGGCTTGGATACAATTTCAGTAGTCTGTGATAGTTTTGTTACTTTCTGGTAAGAAAAGATGTTCCACACCCACTTTGTATACATATGTATATTTTTTACAACAAAGTTGGAGCCAGCCGTTTCTGAGGATCTCTGTTAATTTGAAGTTCAGTGGGAATTGGTGTTTAGAGAACACAGGTGGGGCCTTTGTGGGAATCTTTGATGCTGGGTGAGTTTTCCAGTGGAACTCTGGAGCTAGGAAGTTCACACACACACACGCAATCTTATGTTTTTTGTTGGTTTGGTTTTTTTGGACATAAAATACACCATGGATTTATATTGGTACTTCCATCTTGAAGTCAGGACGAGAGGGTTTTTCTGACTTCTTCGGTCTGCCATGCTTGAAAGTCCCAGTCCTCGACTACGCAGCTCCTTGTTTATCCACAGCATCGGCACCAAGAATTTGATTTCTGAAACTGGGTCAAGATGTGGGCGGGGGCTTGGGGGGTGGGGAGCTTCTTTGGCCCTTATATTACACTAGGGATGTAGAAATTAACATGTTTTAAAGTCACTGGAAATAATGCTTTCCTGTGAGGTTGTATAACCTCAGTCACAGTCATCAGCCTGACTCACAGCTCATTTGTTTTCAATGTTTAGGGATTGCCGTTTTAGGTTTTGTAACTTGGTAAAACATTTATAAGATTCCAAAGTTTAAGTAATGAATACTCACAGAATTTTTTCCCCTCTGTGTTCCCTCTACTTCACCTGTAGGTAACCATTTTGTTTGTTTTTAGTTTATGTGTTTATGCAAAAACTATATAAGCAAATACAATTTTTCATACGTGAAGATATGCACACTTTTTTTTCCATCCCATGCACCTATCCAGACATATGAAATGGGAATTGATAGTTTGTAAGTTTTATACATCATTTGTTGTTCATTTTAGGTATTTGGTGTTCAATATAAGTAGAAATTCTTTTTGGTCCTTATTTTGTTTATTTAAAAACGTTTCTTGGTGGTGTATGAGAATGTGATTTTTTGATGGCCAGTTCGGTTCTTTCTAGCTTCTTGCTGTTTCCAAGCAGTGCCGCTGTGACGAGGCTGTGCGTATCCATGTTTCTGGATGTTCTTAGTCTTTGTCCATACCCATGACCTCTTCCGGGTGCTTGATTGGAGACTCTGTGTTTTGACTTTGGCCAGCTGCCTTTCCAGCAGCTTCGCTGTCAGCAGCAGAGGAGAGGAGCCATCCGTGCCCTTGCTAACAGTCCCACCTGCTGTTGCTGTCATTGCTAGTGGATTGTTGTATGTGGCAGGGCTGGATGTCCCCATTTTTGCTCTTCTTTCTCAGAATATTGTTTTAAGTACATCTTTACTTAAATTATCTTAGCAATCTTTGTTGCATCACAGAAATACTGCAGACCTCTTATTGGAATTGTGTTACATGTTGAATAATTTGAGGATTATGGACATGTTTTCAGTATCTGTCTCCTCGTCTGGAATGTAGAATATGGATTTACAGTTTTCCTGAAGGGTTCACACATTATTGACGGATTATATTTAAATGTTTGGTGTTTAGCATAACTGGAATTTCTCCTTGAAAAAAAGTTTTTGAAGAAGAAGTTTATGCTGGGGTACAGGAATGTGAGCGACCTGTTTACCCAGTACATGGCCACTTAATGCTTTCAGTTCCCAGATTCATGACATAGAATCTCAGTTTTCAGAAGCTTTGCTGGCTTAGATATTTTTAGACAAGAGAGCATATAATCTCAGCATGCCAAAGCTGGGCAAAAATAGTACTGTCACCTGTTTGGGTCGTTAGACACTGGTTACACAGAACACACAGGAGGGCCACGTGGTCTAATTAGGCTCTTCCTGTGCTTCTAATACTGCGATTCACTGCAAATCTGTGTGTTTTGGTGGTGATGTCACATCGAAATTCACATAAACACTGTAGTGAGGAGAAGCTCCAACATACCCAAGATGGCATCGTCACCTTCAAGGAAGTCATGGCAAAACTGTAACAGTAGCTGTTGTTTTGTGTGTGGTCATGTTGCAAGAAAGTCTTTTTATTGTTTCTGTTCTGGAAACAACAGCCTGGTATCCAGTCTAAACTGAAGCATTATAGGTGGTCATGAGTGTCTGTAATGACTTTGACTTTAGGATGTTCCCCACCCCCCCTCCGCCCTACTTTTGCCCCCAACAGGGACTCTTGCAGACAGCCCTGGGAAGTCATCTCATCTGATTGTCTCTTCTTGTTATCCTTTGACTTCTTTTCTCTAACGTATGTATTTCTTGTAAACAGAAATTCGGTCTAGAAGCTTTGAACATATTCAGGCGAAACATATTTGCAAAGATTTTAATAAGTACTGTGTACTTCCTGCCACATCACATTAGGGGCCCCTGATGTCAGGTTCTTTCATTGTTAGAGTATCTGTGTTTTTTTAGTTCACGTGTAGGAATGGTTAAATATAAACTAACAGTAGCCAAATCTTTTGAATATTCTCATTTTCTCTTTGGGATAGTTGACTAAGATAACACGAACTGGTCCTTCTGCTTGGGAAACCAAAAAGATTCTGGCTGTTTCTTTTGCTCCTCTGATCCAGCCCTGTCATTCAGAGACAGGAAAATCAAGACTTGTCCAGTTACGTAAGTACAAAGATCTTCACTTACCTTTCAGATCTTTTAAAAAATCTCGTTAGAATTTGAAGAGAAAGAAAAATTTTAAGGAGCCTTTTAATATTAAAGAGGATTCTGAAGCCTTACAGTTTTACAAATGGTTTTTTACGTATTGTAAAAATCATGATCTGTTTTTAGCCTATTTTAGGTTATTTTGGCCTTCTTTTAAATCCACAGGAGTTATTTCTGGTCATGCCATTGGAAGCAGAAGACTCCCACAAAAGGGAGTTAATTCTGCTACGTGGAAAGTTCTTCCAGAGAGAGTGTGTTCCCAGTACCGTCGAGCCAGAGGGCTCTTGCTGAGTCATGGGACCTTGTCCTCCTTGGGGCCACCTCATGGGTACACGTCTCAGCCGGCTGGCTGGTGTGTGGTGGGAGGCTTGCTGAGGAGCATTGACTTGGCTAGGCCTATGCCTGCGACTCCTTCAGGATGTAGACCCAGAAGGAGCAAACATCAGGGCTGGCATTCATCCAAATACTGTTTTCTAGTTTAAACAAATTTACATAGCAGTGAGAATTGCAAATGACTTTATTTAAAATAAAACTATTCAGCATGGTTTCTGCATTCTGATCATTTAGAAGATTCGGAAAATGTACAAAAAGGAAAAATAGTAACCATGATCTTACCACCCAAAGGTAATACATGTGTTGGCAAATTCCTTGCAGGATTTTATTTTCTATTTTTTATTTGTGAGGAATCGTTTATCAAATAGTAATGCTCCGTCTTTGTCTCTGCTAAGTGGAGGTCACATGCCATAGATGTGGTCCTTGAAATGTAACAAACAACAGTAGAATATAGACAGTGCCTGAGAGGGGCCAGGCAGAGGATGGGACCTTTCTTTGTGCTTGGTCTTTCTGGGTGAAAATGAATTCTCTGAAGAGAGAAGAAAGGGAGAAAAAGCATGAGCAGAGGCTGATGTGGACTTTCCACATGCCCGCTCCCCGGTGTGGTCTGAGTGAGGGTGTATAGGAGACGCCAGCCCAGTACATAGGTTAGACATGAGTTTAGCATGTAGGCTGTGGAGATCCACCAGATAGTACAACTAAAAGATGTGGGGCATCTGCCTTCTTGATTACCCTTGTGGCCGGCTGCAGGGTGATTTTGTCACATGCAGGCTCTCTGAAAATCCCACCAGGATAAGCTAACATTGCTCGCAGTTGGCCGGAGCACTCCCTTCCAGAATGCTACCTGAGTAGCACCAGAGGTGAGGGCATAGTTGGAGTATCTATGGGACCCGGGGGGTGGGGGGCAGGGGCGGGGTGTTGAAGACAAGTCTCTTGGTGTGAGGGCTTGATCCGATCTGGGTAAGAGTTGTGGTGACACGGGGGCGCCTGGGTGGCTCAGTCGGTTAAGTGTTCGACTTTGGCGCAAGTCATGATCTCACAGTTCGTGAGTTCGAGCCCCGCGTCGGGCAGTGCTGACAGCTCGGAGCCTGGAGCCTGCTTGGGATTCTGTGTCTCTCTCTGCCCCTCCCCTGCTCATATTCTGTCTGTCTCTCTCTCACAAAATAAGTAAACACTAAAAAAATTCAAAAAAAGTTGTGACAACATGGAGGGCACCCTGAGATGCCAGCTTTGAGGCTAGCGCTTTAGAGCAAATGCTGGATGATGGATAAGCATGTGATGTTTAGGGTTCCTGAAGCGAACAATCCAGTTGTTTGTAACTGCTTCTTGCTGGGTTGGAGTTTTCTGGACTCCTAAAGTTGTGTCGATGGAGACAGTGGCCTCTGGAGTGGAAGGGACTCGGGCAGGCACACAGGGCCTTTCTGAGGAAGGATGTGGAGCCTGAGGTGTCCGGCATCTGTTGGAGATATGGGTCTGTGGGAGGCTTGGGACCCCAGTCAGGACTGGAGCAGAGCCCTAGGAGCCGTTGCCCAGTCTTTGTTACTCGAAGGCACAGAATGGATGCCGAAACAGAGATCGATAGGCACACAGAGAGGGGGAAGTGGTGGGAATCAGCACGTGAGGGAACACCACTGGCCTGGGTGGAGGAGGGAGCTCACAGGAGAGGCTTGGGCCTAGTTAGTTCCCTGCAAGTGGGCGCCTCGGGGGGAGCCAGGGAAGCCAGAATGTGAGTCCTGGAGGTCTGGTGACCTGTGAAGGAGTCCGTTCAGCAGACTGAGTGGCAACAGCCCGTGAAGAGGGAAGGGAAGGGAAGGGAAGGAAAGGCAGGACGCGCTGAAGGGAAAGTCATGATTTCGGTGTTGCGGAGTGGGGCAAGTGCTGGAGCCTGTCCCGGACGAGAGAGGGGACACTTGAGCAGGAGAGGAGGCCTGGTGTGGACAAAGGGGAGAAGGTGCTGAGAGCCTCCAGCAAGAGCACTTTCTAGGGCTCCTGTGGAACAGTGAGCCTCGCACGGGATTGTGTGCAGGCCTCTCTGATTTGGGTGATAAATGTTACAGACAATCTAAGAGCCCCCCTAGATTGTAGGTGGCCATCTCTTTTGGCAGAAGCTAGGTACTGGAGGGAAAAAAGTGGCGCTGCCTTTCAGTATGATGTACTTAAACACACAGCCCCTCATTCCTCTCCCTTTGAGAAAAAAGCTCTTCTGTTGCCATGTGCGTACTGCCTGCGTTAAATTGAGCATTAAATTGAGCCTGCGTTAATCACCAGATTCTGTTTTTCCTCAGTATGCTTTGGAGTTTTTGTACTTACTAAAAACGTTTGGATTTGCTGTTCTCTGCTTAAATCAAAAAAGAGGAACTAATACTCAATTTGTAAAGTGCTGTGAAAATATTAAGATAGACAAAAGAATTCTGGAGCCCTACATCCTCTGTGTTTCCACTGGATGAGCTAGAACCCACGAATGAATACGTAAATAGAATAATGAACCTGGCTGTCCAAGAAGCAAAACACCGTAGCCCAGGGTTTTCCCTTGCTTCTGACTGAATAGCCAAACAATCTCGATCTTGCTTATGTAAGTTCAGGGTCGATGTATTTGAAAATATCTTTCGAGAAGGACCACATGCATGCGCACTAGAGCACTAACTAAGTGACTTTGCCAGGAACGCTCTCTCGTGCCTGTTCTGTGAATACGCCAGTGAATGACAGTGACGTGAAGACTTCCCAGGGTTAGGGCTCTGTGCTGTCCAGGTCACTCTCAGACAAGGTTGACACGTCTCCTCCTTTGCTCCGCAGCGCCGCTGGCCGTGCGAAGCCTCCAGGACCTGGCTCGCATCGCCATCCGGGGCACCATTAAAAAGGTCATTCGTCAGGAAACGGTGAGCAGCAGCGGAAACGGACTAAAGAGCACTCCGGGGGTGAAACGAAGGAGAGTGCGCCGCCGTCGAATGGAAACGATCGTCTTTTTGGACAAAGAGGTTTTTGCCAGTCGGATTTCCAGCCCCTCTGACGACAACAGCTGCGAGGACTTGGAAGAGGAGTCGCGGGAGGAGGACAGAGCCCCCCCGCCCGAAGCCAAGCCAGCCCCACCGGTGAACTTCCTACGGGAGAAGGTCCTGAGCCTCCCTCTGCCAGACCCCCTGAAATACTACTTGCTCTATTACAGGGAGAAGTGAGTCTGTGGGAACAGGGCACCGAGGCAGAGCTGATGCTGTGCCTGCTGTTGCCGAGGGGTCGCCCGGGCACGTGCCGTGGGGAAGGAAAGTGCTCTCCTCTCGACCGTCCTGTCTTTAGTTCGTTCTTGGTTTTCCTGTAGAATCTCCATTCAGTGGTATCATTTCAGTAAACATAATCTGATAAACATAAAGTGCATAGGAGAAGGTTTTCTCAGAAGGGAGAGCATCTCTTGAGAAGGGTGTTTGCTTTTTGTGCTGATGAAACTGATGTCTGCCTGCAGAGACCGCTTTGGTGACCGTCTCCCACTCAAGATAACCTACGAAGACTGAAGTTGAAAGGAACCTGTGTTGCTTAGAAAAAGTGAAAGTGCAAGTTTGCAAGTGTGTAAAATCTTTTCTGGGTGTGACACATCTGTGTCCAAGTTAGCACTTTATGGTGTCTGCCTCGTAATTACTGGCGCTGAGCTCCCCTAACCCTTTTAGCTCTCTGGATGGGAGAGTGTTATTGAAAAGCTCTCCCTTATTTTAAATAAATGTAATTAGATTGTATGTGGGTTGTCCACTGTAATTTTAAAAGAGAGAAATTTGTGATGGGGGAGGAGGAATAAAAGTATCAAACTGCCAGATGTCTTTCTGGGATTCCAAAATAATTCAAGGAATATCTTCCTGACGCCTTTTCTTACCTTTAGAAGAACCAGTGTCAGATAATCCCTTAAAGAAAATACTCAAGAATGAAGCGAGCGTTGTGCGCAGTGAGCTGCCTTACTTTTACTCCAACGGTGGGGATGACTGTTGATGCAACCTTGAGTGTGTTAATGGGTGTCTAGGGCATGGATGTGCTCGGTCCTCAGAACAGGTGGGAAGTGTTAAGACTGCAGGAAATACATTGGAGACAATGTCAACAACCTGTGCTGTTTTTTCTTTTTTCCTTCAGTTGGCTACTTTTCTGTAATCACATTAAAGTAATGATTAATAGATTTTATCTTTTATAATTCTGGAGAAGAAGATGTGTTAGTTTTCTAATTTTTCTTAATAACAAATGTATGTATTTTAGTAGCTCCATTGCATTAGAATAACAGTCTAACCCCCAGGGACTTGTGGATTCTACCTTCTCTAGGCCCTTTGTGTTGACAGGTTTCTGTGTTTACCAAGTTCCAAAACATTGGTTCTTTTCAAACTTGCTTTTTGTGCCCAAAGAAGAAAACAGTGGTATCAAATGTTAACAGTAGACCCAAACTCAGAGTGCTGCTGTGGGATCAATCATCCAGATTTTATGACTGATTTTATCCGGTGTTGCTGAGCTTGAGTGTGTCTTTGTGGTTTCACCAGCTGAACCGAGTTCTGCTTATTTATTTATTTATTTATTCTTAAACTTCTTTTTTAAGTAATTTAATCATTTTCTACAGGATACTATGTGCATGCAGAGCTGGGAAAATATGTCTGTTGCCCTAGATCTGGAAATGTAATTTTTTATAAAGACAGTACTTCACAGTTGTTCTCAACCTGGCTTCTAACGGAAGGCTGGGCGTCACTGTCTCAGAAGCGCCCAGTTTACGTTTACGTGAGGACTTGAGATCACTTAGTGGTGCGCACGTCTGTGCCGACGTCACGCTGACCGTAGTGTACTGATCTCTGCGATCCACGGACATTCGGAGCATAAGGTCAAATACATATTTGTGAAATCTGTCACACTGGGTGGCTTGACTAAGTTCTTTTCCTGTAATTGTACATGGGTTTTATTTATTTTTTAAATCACATTTGCCTTCACGCTAGACTGTAAAACCTCTTCACCGTGCATAAGACGTGTTTTTCCCTACATAGGTTAGACCTTTGCTAACATTTGTGTTCGTATTTACATGTTGTCTGTTTGCGATACTTAAACCAGAATTTGGTTACAAAAATATATATAGATGTAATATATGTGAAATGGTTTGGTGTTTATCTTATACACGTAGAGAAGAATTGTAAATGGGTTTTCCCGGGCCGAAGTGCCCCTCCCCAGGGTCCAGGATGATGCACTGCTGTCTGTTCCCCGACAGATGGATTATGTATAGTCTGTGTGGCCTGTAACCTCTGTATTGTAAACCACTTTCTAGACAGCTGTGGACTTTTATGTTCTGAGGAGTATGTATTTCTGTGTGTGATTTGTGTCTTGAAAGTAGTAAAGCCACAGACACGTACACAGCAAATGTCAAATTTATAAATATCAAGGATGCAGTGTAAAAATCAACTGTGTATGTAAGAATGCTTTTGCCAGTCTGGACCTTTCAGGGAATTAATGCCAGAAGTTTGAAACCAAGATTTTAATGAGTAGATACACATTGGGTAAATACAAAGGCTATCAATAAACCTCGTTCAGGCACTTCAGCCTTCTTGGCATGGCTTGTGTTTCCTGTGTGGGATTGAAATTCTTGACTACATGTTTTCCAAAAATCTTTAAAAATAAACCTTTTCTTTATTAGAATCATGTGTTTTCTTTCACTGTTGTGTTATGGCTTCATTCTGTACCATGGTAGTACACTTGGGGAAGACGTGATTTTATTTTATTTTTTTAATTTTTTTTTTCAACGTTTTTTTTTTTTTT